TCAGCCTTCAACCCCAGGAGCTTTTGGTGCTGTGTCTGAAAACACAACAATCCATTTTATGGATGAGGAACCGAGGCCCAGAGTGACCTGCTCAAAGTGTCCCTGTGAGGGTAGAGGTGGCAGCAGACAATGACCAGCCTTGAGTGGCAGAGTGGCGACAGCCTGCCTTGGGGAGCCCGGCTGCCCTCACCCCCAGCCTGGCACTGTGCAGCCTACCCTGAGAGCATCTGCCTTGGACCCCAGGTATCCTCGGTAATGACATGGACACGGGCAGTGACAATGGCACCTCGGGGAATCTTGGCCAGCCTGGCTTTCAGAGAGAAGCTGTACCAATGGCTTATCAGCTGCTACCAATGAGATTCCCCTGGCTGAGTTTCCTGTCCCTGTCCCTGGGAAGCCAGGGCACCTGCTACACTTCCCGCAGCCAGCTCCCCTGAGACTGTGGCGGGCCAAATCTCTGTGGTAAGTGAGTATCTGTCTCTGCTGTGGCTTGGTGTTCTGCTGGGAGGTAGGAGGTCTGGCCACCCAGAAGGCTGAGAGGCCCCTCGGCTCACCCCTGCTCAGGGTGGGGCAGCCCTTGGCCGCTGCTGACCTCTCACCTGGGCCATCCTCATACCCAGCCCGGGTGGAGAATGCCCAGGCAGCTGAGAGGGGCTGGGACCCAAGGTTCAACAAGCTTGTGTGCAGGGACTCCGAGAATTGGGAGAGGAATGTGTGATAAATACCATGTTTGTTCAGTGGCTACCACTAACAGGCAGGCATCTGGCTGGGCACTGCCACACGTCCAAACCTTGCCAGGATTGCCCTCTCTCTCTCTTCGTGAGTGAGGGCACTGAGGTGCATGCCCAGGGTTCCGGCTTGGCCAGCTGGGGAGTCCTCAGCACAGAAAGATGAGGTCCACAGGGTCCCCAGGATATCAGCAAGTCAAGCTCTTAGGCTGCCATACACTCTAGGTGCTATCTTAGTCTCTGTCTCCCCACTGGGGCTCTGGGCAGGGATTTTTCGGTTTTCCCACTTGGGACTCTGGGAGTTGGAGTCCACACTGGGGCCTGGAGGCACGGGGCCCCTGGGTGGGAGTCCAGAGCCCCAGCAGGGTTCCCTATGGCGCAGGATGGAGCTGTGGCCCTGTCCAGCTATGGGCAGGGGAATCCTCCTCCCCCGCCCCTGTGCCAGCCCTGCTCCTGTTTGTCCTGCTGCCTCTTCTCCCCCTTCCACTCTGTCCAAGGAATCCTTTCTACCCGGATATCGCCAGCCAGGCTGGTGTCCCTGCATTTCCTTCCTAGTATGGTGCCCCGACCACCAGATTATTTTCCCCTTGTGGTGGAACCAGAGAGGGACCCTTTGGAATGGCACTGGCAAGGGACTTGGCAACTGTGCCTTCTCCCATTCACTCTCTGTGTCGGGGTGGTGGCTGCATTCCGCCAGGGTGGCAAGTAGGGCCACTGCTTTCTACTAGATGCTGGCCCCAGATTACATACACCTGCCTTCCCTGCTTGGCTGCTGCAAAAGCTCCTGGGGGCTGGGCAGGAAAGGTCTTGCTTCTGGCTGCGCTCCCTCCTGCCCCTATGCTGTATCAGCCAGCCCAGCGTCGCCTGTCTCCCTGGCTAGTGGAGGGGAGCAGCATGGAGGTGTGTGCAGGTCCCTGGTCTCCTTCGCCCTGGATCTGTCATTGCCGCATTCAGCCGGGCCCCTCTGCTGTTCTGTTCCTCGCTGCTTGGCTCTCTCCGCATCGGTCTGTGCCTTTCCTTCACCCTTAATCCTTGCCTCTTCCCCTCCTTTCTTCCTTCCTGCCCCCTCCCGAGCCACGGAGCAGGATTCCACTCCCCCCACTAATGTGTGAATCTGTGTATGTGTGTGTTTGTAGACCCACCCTGCTGGGTGGTGTGCAAAGCCATGACCTTGCCCGTTTGACCCCACAGACAATGGCACCCCTGCACCTGCCCACCTGCACCTTGAGTGGGTGAGCAGCCAGGCTGGGGGCCAAGTGCTGGGTTGCATCAGGCCTCGACGGGCAGTGGGCAGACAGCCTGGTGATGGGGCCAGTGTGGCTGACGCACAGGGGACAGGGGACTCTGAGTCACGGGGAAGAGTGGGGACTGGGTCCTTGCCCAAGCTGTCCTGGGGACTAGGAAGAGCAGGAGGGAGGGCTGTGGGCAGGGCTCTGAGAGGGAAGGGGCAGAGCTCAGAGGGGCTGGGGTTGTTACCCAGCAGGCCTCTGCCCTCTCTGGACTGTTGGGTAAGTAAGGGAAGAAAGGGGCTGGGGCAGGCCCAGCTTCTTCCCAAATTAGGGCCCTCTTCTCCTGCGCCCTTCCTCACAGCTTCTTCCCGGTTCCTAGGCCCCTGGCCAGTGCCTTGAGGGGTCCCAGCCAGTTCAGCCTTGCTGGATGCTCCAAGCTCTGGCTGCCTGGCTGGTACTGATTTGAGCAACTCTGGTCTGAGCAGGTTTGTGTGTGTGTGTGTCTGCAGCCATGCATTTGTACACATACATGATACACGTGGGCATGCACACAGGTGCTCGCTGGTGCTGGTGTGCCTGACGGATGCCTTCCCCTCCTCTCTTCCCCTCTCCCACTCCACACGACCCTGTCTTCCTGTTGCCTGGCATGTGTGCACTGGCACTGTGCATTCGCGTGTGATCTGCTTGTCCACGTCAGTGCACCTCTGTGTCGCCTCTCGGAGCCAGCTGCACACCTGCGTGTGCACCTGCATACCAATGCGGTCCCCAGACATTCCCAGACAGGGGAGGAGGAGGGGCTGTGCCTGGGAGCTGAAGAAAGGCTCACAGATCCCTGAGCCACCGAGCCTGGAGATGCAGCCTGCCCTGGTGTGATCCAGCTGCCTGGGGAGGGGGAAACTGAGGCCCAGGAAGGGGTGGTAGGACTGACCTGGGGTGCCCCTCTTGCCCTGCACTGGATACCTCAACCCTGAGATTCTGCAGGACACAGCCAAGGCCCAAAGTTCTGTCTGCTACTGGGCCTATAGTGGATGGAGAGGTGTGAGTTGGCCCCAAGGTTCTAGTCCTCACACCTTTTGACAAATGCAATAACAGCCTGGGGTCTAAGCAGCCGTCTGGATGCTGTGCACCTGCTGTCACCTCGGCAGAAGTGCCTGACCAACTACTTTTGGGATTCCGTCCCTACCCTACCTTCCCAGCCCCCTGGAGCTCAGGACTGTGAATTGGTTTTGCTTTGGTGGTAAAGGTTATTTTTTTTAGGCTTTGTTTTCCCAAAGTACTCTGCTTTCCCAGGCTGAATAGGAGGAGGTAGAGGTGGTGATGGCAGTGAGAGCGGTCTCCTTTGTCTACATGTGTGTGGCACTGTCCTGGTCTTTGTGCCCATGGCCCTTGCCCAGGGAAGAGGGAGGGGAGAGCAGGGCTGTTTCCTTGGACAGATGGGAGCTGCAGCCAGCATCAGGCCTGTGGAGCTCTGGCCAGTTTGCTGTGTGCCCCTCCTCCCCTGTCAGGCAATCCCCCCAGCCCTCGTGTCTTGGGTAGCACTTGGGAAGAGAGGGTTGGTGGGGCTAGGCTGCAGGCTGTGTGCCCAGACCACCTCCCCTGCTCCCCTGAGCCTTGTCCCCTTATTTCACAGATGTGGAAAGAGAAGATGCTACTTACCTGCCCCATCAGGGAGGGTGGGTGGGGTTCCACCCATGATGCTGGCTCACAAGGTGCTGTGTGACCTGGGGCTGGTCCCTGTCCCTCCCTAGGGGAGGACTTGGGGCTGCAGCCATGCTGTTTTGGAGGTGCAAGGCACCCTTTGGGGTCAAGTTCCTCTTCTTGTAAGGCCTGCCAGGAGGTGACACCAGGGAGGCTGGCTTCCTGGACTTGCCACGTCTCTCTCAGCTAAGCACTCCCCAAGCCTTTCCCCTGGCAGGAGACCCACCCCCCAGCCTCTGCGGCATCCCCTGCTCAGGGTGGGGTGGGGGAACCCATGGGTGTGATGCTCTGCTCCCCTCCCCCCAACCCTGGCAGCTGAGACAAGGGAATTATTTTTGGAACAAGAGCAGTTACACAACAAATGAATTATTTATCTTTGGGCATGGAGGAAAGGAGGCATCTTGTCTGGCATCTTGATTCTTGAGCTGGACTCGGAGATGCCCACTTGGGTACGTGGACGTGTCTGTTGGGGCATGTCTGTCATGTGCACAGATCACAGGTGTGCTCGAGTGTGTGTGTGTATGTGTGTGTGTGTGTGTGTGTGTGTCTGTGTGTTCTGGTAGGTGAGATTTGAGGCCAGTGCTCCGGCTGTGTGTGTGTGTGTGTGTGTGTGTGTGTGCACACCTGTCTCCTCTCCACTCTCCCTTCTCTGTTCACTATCCTTAGACACTGTCCTGTCCCCTTCTGCCTTCTCCCTCTCCCCTTCCTATCAGGAACCAGCCTCCATTCTGTTTTGTGGCAGGGACCACCTCGCTGTTCTCCCCCATACCTCCCCAAGGGTGCTTGCTTGCTGGCACACAAGCCCCCCAGGTGGGGGTGTGAAGGAGGCACCAGAGGCCTGTGCTGGCCTTGAAGGGCTGTGCTAAGCCTCACACTAATCTATCACCTCCTCTCCATGCTGCCTTCCAGGAACTTGGTGACAGATGGGTCCCTTCCTGCCTGTCCTCACCTCTCTCGCTCCCCGTGTGCTGCAACACCCCCAGCCTCCTGTGGGAATAGTCGGCTGAAGTGCTGAGCCCTGGGACCCCGAGAGGAAAAAGAGGAGAGGAGAGGAGGAAGAGGAGCAGAGCCTTGGGAGCCTGTGTCCCAGAGAGCAGACCTGCTCGCCTTCACACCTGCTCACGGCATCTCTTCAGGCCTCCCAGCACCGGCCAGCTGTGCCCACCTTGCCTGGGGCCCCCGTGCCAGGGGTCGCCCCCAACATGGTGGCGGCCCCAGGGAGGACTGTGCTGCCAGCCTCTGCCTCTGGCTGCTAGGCAGCTCCCCCTCTGCACGCCAGCTCCAGCCCCTCACTCCCAGCCTGGCCTTGCCTTCACTGGGGTGGGGGTTGGCCAAGGTGGGCGCCATGCTGCGCCTGGGGCTGTGTGCAGCAGCGCTGCTGTGCGTGTGCCGGCCAGGTGGCGTGCGTGCTGATTGCTGGCTCATTGAGGGAGACAAGGGCTACGTGTGGCTGGCCATCTGCAGCCAGAACCAGCCACCCTACGAGACCATCCCGCAGCACATCAACAGCACCGTGCATGACCTGCGGCTCAACGAGAACAAACTCAAGGCGGTGCTCTACTCCTCGCTCAACCGCTTCGGGAACCTCACCGACCTCAACCTCACCAAAAATGAGATCTCCTACATCGAGGATGGCGCCTTCCTGGGCCAGTCAAGCCTGCAGGTGCTGCAGCTGGGTTACAACAAGCTCAGCAACCTGACCGAGGGCATGCTGCGCGGCATGAGTCGCCTGCAGTTCCTCTTTGTGCAGCACAACCTCATCGAGGTGGTGACGCCAGCCGCCTTCTCTGAGTGCCCAAGCCTCATCAGCATCGACCTGTCCTCCAACCGCCTCAGCCGCCTCGATGGTGCCACCTTCGCCAGCCTGGCGAGCCTCATGGTGTGTGAGCTGGCCGGCAACCCCTTCAACTGCGAGTGCGACCTCTTCGGCTTCCTGGCCTGGCTGGTGATCTTCAACAACGTCACCAAGAATTACGACCGCCTGCAGTGCGAGTCGCCGCGTGAGTTTGCTGGCTACCCACTGCTCGTGCCCCGGCCCTACCACAGCCTCAACGCCATCACCGTCCTGCAGGCCAAGTGTCGCAATGGCTCTCTGCCCTCGCGGCCTGTAAGCCACCCCACACCCTACTCCACTGATGCCCAACGTGGTGGGGAGCCCGATGAGAACTCTGGCTTCAATCCCGAAGACATCCTGTCTGTCGAGCCGCCCGCCTCGTCCACCACGGATGCATCGGCGGGGCCAGCCATCAAGCTGCATGCGGTGACTTTCACGTCGGCCACCCTGGTGGTCACCATCCCGCACCCTTACAGCAAGATGTACATCCTGGTGCAGTACAACAACAGTTACTTCTCCGATGTCATGACACTCAAGAACAAGAAGGAGATTGTGACGCTGGACAAGCTGCGTGCACACACTGAGTATACCTTTTGCGTCACCTCCCTGCGCAACAGCCGCCGCTTCAACCACACCTGTCTGACCTTCACGACGCGGGACCCTGTGCCCGGCGACCTGACACCCAGCACCTCCACCACCACACACTACATTATGACCATCTTGGGCTGCCTCTTTGGCATGGTCATCGTGCTGGGGGCTGTCTACTACTGCCTACGCAAGCGGCGCCTGCAGGAGGAGAAGCACAAGTCGGTTAACGTGAAAAAGACCATCCTGGAGATGCGCTATGGCACCGATGTGGACGCTGGCTCCATCGTGCACGCGGCGCAGAAGCTGGGTGAGCCCCCTGTGCTGCCCGTGGCCCGCATGTCCTCCATCCCTTCCATGATTGGCGAAAAACTGCCTGCCCCCAAGGGGCTGGAACCAGGGCTGGACACACCCAAGGTGGCCACCAAAGGCAACTACATTGAGGTGCGCACAGGTGCCGGCGGGGACAGCTTGGCCAGGCCCGAAGATGATCTCCCCGACCTGGAGAACGGCCAGGGTTCAGCTGCCGAGATCTCTACCATCGCCAAGGAGGTAGACAAAGTCAACCAGATCATCAATAACTGCATTGACGCCCTCAAGCTGGACTCGGCCTCTTTCCTGGGGGGCGGCGGTGGCAGTGGTGGCGGTGGAGACCCTGAGCTGGCCTTTGACTGCCAGTCTCTTCCAGCGGTAGCTGCAGCAGCTGCTGCCTCCTCAGCTGCCGCTACCCCTGGGGCCTTGGAACGACCCAGCTTCTTGTCACCACCCTACAAGGAGAGCTCCCACCATCCGCTGCAGCGCCAGCTAAGCGCCGATGCTGCCGTGACCCGTAAGACCTGCAGCGTGTCGTCCAGCGGCTCCATCAAGAGTGCCAAGGTCTTCAGCCTGGACGTGCCCGACCACCCGGCTGCCGCGGGACTGGCCAAGGGTGACTCCAAATACATCGAGAAGGGCAGCCCACTCAACAGCCCTCTGGACCGGCTCCCGCTGGTGCCTGCGGGCAGTGGTGGGGGTGGCAGCGGTGGAGGTGGTGGCGGGGTCGGGGGCATCCACCATCTGGCCGTGAAGCCGGCCTTCCACTGCAGCGAGCACCGGCACAGCTTTCCAGCCCTGTACTACGAGGAAGGCGCCGACAGCCTGAGCCAACGCGTGTCCTTCCTCAAGCCGCTGACCCGCTCCAAGCGTGACTCCGCCTACTCACAGCTGTCCCCCAGACATTACTACTCGGGGTACTCCTCCAGCCCCGAGTACTCGTCCGAGAGCACGCACAAGATCTGGGAGCGCTTCCGGCCCTACAAGAAACACCACCGTGAGGAGGTGTACATGGCCGCTGGCCATGCCCTGCGCAAGAAGGTCCAGTTCGCCAAGGATGAGGACCTGCACGACATCCTTGATTACTGGAAGGGGGTCTCGGCCCAGCAGAAGCTGTGAGCCACCCCTGCCTGGTGAGGTCGGGGGGGCCTGGGGGATGGGAGGAGGGGGAGAGGCACCCGGGAACCCCCCACCCCTACCCCAGGGAGGGACAGGACAGGGCAGGGGGCCCAGGAGGAGACAAAGCTCCGGTGACCCAGACGGGGCTGATCGGGGCCCGAGGCCGAGGAGTGGACGCACACGCACACCCGCACGCACGCACCCACGCACACACCTGACCACCACCTGACTGTGAACAAACCAACACCCGACAATAACGGACAGGAAAACAAAGACACATTTTCCTTAAAGTTTACAAACTGATACCGAAACCAGTCGTCTTTACTGTGCTGCCCAGGGACTCTGCTGGGGTGTGCCGGACAAGGAGTGGGCTGCTGAGGGGCAGGCTGGGAAGGGGCTAGGGGCTGGGAGCTTGGAAGCAGGGACAGGTTCAAGGGCAGAGGAGACTGGCCTAGAGGTGACTGAAGCCCCTTTGGGGCAAGAAGAAGGACGCCCACCCACCCAGACTTAGAGACAGGTCACTTGGAGATGTAGCACCCAATGGACATGACATTGGAATCCCTTTCTTCTGCTTTGTGGATGCGGAAACTGAAGCCCAGAGAAAGTGACAACCCCACGGTCACACAGCAGGCTTGTCTCAGCCTCCCCAACTTCCAAGCCCAGGGCTATCCCCTACCCCTAGCGGCTCCCCCAGTGCCCCAGCCTTTCCTCCCCCCCCCCTTCCTACCCTCGTGGAAGCTGTGGCCTCCTGGGGCTGGGGACTTGGGAGTCAGGTAGGTGCTCCTTTCTAGAAAGATCCATGCCTATGCTACCAGAGCATGGAGCTATGATTTACATGCCCAGAAGCGTCTCTGCCCTCCCATCCCCCACTATGCCAGCACCCAGAGAGTCCCCAGCAGGGAAGGAATAGAGAGGCAGGGGTTGGGGGAGAAAGACAGGCCACCAACCCTCTTCAAGTGTCTTCCAAGTAGCCCAGGGAGCTAACTGCCTGTTGGCTGGGCAGTGGGCAAGCCGGCTCCCGTGGCTTCTCAGGTGCAGGCCCCCATGCCCCTGCCCCCCAGCTTCCTCTGAGTTCCTGGGATTCCTCCCCCTGCCCCAATGGCAGCAGAGAATGGTAATGCCTGGGGGCTGTGGGGAGGTAGTGCCATGGGGGATTTTCCATAAGGCGCCACCTCCTGCCAGCCCCTGGCCTGGCACCTGTCCCTCATGGGATCTTGGGGAGGCATCAGTTCACATCCTCTAGGCTGCCTCTCCATCTCTGCCTCACACCCTGTGCAGAGGGGCTTCCCTGTTCCCCCATTTTTGAACTCCCACCCAACATCGAACAAAGCACAAACAGTGAGGTCCCCTTCGTGCCCTGGGTGGTGGGGGGGGAATGGGGTTCACAAGAAGTGGGCTGGGTTGGTGGACCTCCTCCCCCAGCCAGCTTCTGTCACCATGGCAACCTGCACCTGGCAGTTGGTGCCCTGGCAGTTGGGCTTGGGTTCCAGGGCTGTTGGTGTGGGCGGCAGCAGCAGCGGCAGAGGGCAGGATCCTGCTGAGCTGCTTTTCTCAAAAGCGGGGAGAAGATTTCTGGGGCCACACTTGTGGGTCTTGAACAGTCCCACTGTTCAAGTGGGATGCTGAGGGACCAGAGTGGTGGCCTCTTCATTCTCGAGTGGCAGGTGGGGACAGCGACTTTGGGCCTTCCCCACCTGGCCTTGTGTCCTTTGGTTCCCCTAGACCCTGCCGGGGGCTCCCAGCTTCCTGACTGTTGCCCACAATAAGCTACCTGAGACTTGGGGGAGGAAGGACTGTGGGCTGAGGGGTGGGTCGGGTAAACTGCAGACCCCTGGGGAAAGCTGGTGTCACCCCTTGGGGATGCTGGGCCTTGGATGGGCCAGCTTGGGGCTCACTCTGGAGGTGACCTGTTCCACGAAAGACTGTGCTCCTGGGGACATGAGGGGACGGGCCTCCCTGTTCCCCACACCTGCCTCTGGCACCCCACCCCCAGTGCCCTGTCGGCAAGCTGAGAGAAGCGAGCGTGAGAGAGCAGACTCCCTGTTATATTGCATGACGATTTTACTGTATTTTTCTGAGCAAACATCTGTCGTGTCCGTACCAGTCTGTCCACACTCCCCGGCCCCCTGCCTCCCCAAAACACCCTCTGTTGTGAACTGACAGCTCTTGAACACGGGGAGGGGCCAGCTCCGCAAGGTACTCAAAGCAGGTGCCACCCGACTCCACCCTGGCCCTCACCCACCCCTGTCTGTCTGAACCTGGGGCCCACAAGTGCCATCTCCCCTGTCCTCTATACTGTCCCCATTCTTCTTTGTTCCCTTCCTTCTTTCTTCCAGGCCAGGGAAAGAAGCCCTCCTTTCTCTCCCCACCCTGGGCAAGACCCTGGGCAAGACCCCACAGCCAAGAGGGCTCTGTGGGGCTCCCGTGTAGCAGGTGAACACGTTGGGGTGCTCAAGTAGTGTTCAGGACTCTGCCTGGTGAGGTGGACGGGCTCAGTCACATTACAGGGCAGAGAAATTGAGGGCTGGAGCTTCAGGGAGTAGCTTGGGCCCCTGAGAGTGGACAGTTGAGTAGGCCCCAGGTGGGCCTGGCACCCTAGCATGCCTGCATGGACATGACCTTGAGAAAGTGCCGGGATCTCAAAGACCTGGATACTCAGAAGGCTTGGGGACCCGGGCCACTTCTGGTCACCCGCCTGGGCTTGTCCCCTGGCTGCCCAGGCCAGGCCTGTTGATGGTGGTGGGAGCCTGACCCACCCAGGGGCAGGAGCAGCTCCATCTGTGTGCCACAGGAGATGTTCTGGGTGCTAGGCTGGGACAGGGAGAGAGGGGTGGTGGGTATGGAGAGGAAGGGAGGGAGAGGGGAAAGGATGGGGAGGCAGAGGAGTGGGGGTGATGTGGGGTGTAAGCTGGAGATATGGATGCCAACCCCCTTGATACTGTGGTCTCCTGCAGGAGGTCACTGCTGCTCTAAACTGTGCCCTCTAGAGACCCGTGCCCCCAAGGGAAGCAGGGTATGGGGTGTGCTGGGGTGGGGGGGGGAAGCATAAACTCAGTGGACCCACCTTGGGGTCCCCAAGAGCAGCCCCTCTCACTTTAAACCCCCCATCCTGGTGCAGGAGGACTGGGGTTCCTGTTGTGGGGGAGACAAGGGCTGTCCTGGGTGAGGAGTGGCTAGGACTCCTTGCTGGCCCAGGGACAGCACCATCCCCATGTGGAAGCTACAGCCCGTTCCCCCACCCTGGAAGATTTGCTTCTGGAGAAAGAAATCCTTGGTGACCAGGAAGGCCCAGGTCTAGCGACAACCACTTAGTAAAAGCCTAGATCCAGAAAAGGGTGGGGTGTAGGCTGGAGTAGTTTGGGGAACAGCAGCCAGGCTCAGCAAGGGCCCAGGCTAGAGGGCCTGGAGGGGCTGCGGAAGCTTTGTTCAGGTCCACCATCTGCACAGCAGGGGGGTGGGGGGTGGGGGTGGGGATCAGGGAGAGTTGGGCATGGCTGGGGCAAGGCAGTGGGGGGTGGGGACTGAGGGGAAACCCTGCTGCCCAGCCCCAAATCCCACCCCTACCTAGGGCCCAGGTCAGTGTGGAGGTTGGGGCAGTCTCATCTCACCTCAGGCATGGATGTCTCCTGTCTGAAAAGTCTGCTGCTCACCCGCCGGAGCCCCCAGGCTCTGGACTCAGGTCGGGTCCTGATACCTTCCCTCTTGTCTTTGATTTCGAACTGGTCTGCTCATTGCTGACCCCTGGAGGCAGTGTCTTGTTAAGTCACCTCCTGGGCAGCGAGAGAGACTGGTGGTGGTGGGGTGGTTCAAAGGGGGCAGGCAGGCGGCAGGTCTGGGCCCTTTTCTCTTCTCCGGTCTGCCAACAAGCACACGGCTGGGGCAGGGGCTTGGTGTCTGGGGACAGGTGACCACACTTCCCTTCCTTCCTGCCTTCTTCCCTCAGAGCCGCCAGCCCCCAGGGGCACCGCGGTCTGGCACCTGGTTTAGGTCCTGCGGAGCTGGGCCCCGCAGCCCTGCCCCCTAAATTTGTGGACCCAGCTGTGTACGGCCCTTTCTCTTTTCTGGGGTGGGGGGCCTCGAACTCTTTCGTTTTCTTTTAGGGGTTGACTTGATTATTTTCTCTTCCCCATATCTGCCCTCCCCTCTCTCCCTCACCCCCAACCCCCCACCCCCAGTTTCCTGTTTTAAACTGAATGGCACGAAATTGTTTTCCTCAACTCGGAGATTCCTGTATGGAGAGAATCAATTTCTATATTTGCAATAAATTTCTTATTTAAAACAATAGGTCCAAGGTCTTTAGCTGAATGTCCCACCCAGTTCTGCTCTCGCCTCTTTTATTTTTGGGGATCCCAGAGCATGGAGTTATCTGAGGGCAATAAAAGGGGACCTGCCAGCCAGTGGGAGGCGGGGGGTCCCTGTGCACTGATGACCAGGTGGAGGGTCTGCTGGCCTTCCCTCCCCCATCACCTGGAAGACTTTGAGGCTCTGCCCTGTAACCTGCTCACTCCTGGGTTCAAGCCCTTGGATGGAAATGGAAGACCACCTGGGGGCGCCGCTGGGCTGCAGCTGTCAAATTCAGGGGTTGCTCTTCAGTGCCAGCTGCTCCCTGGCCTGTTCTAGGCCTGAGCCTGAGCAGCCTGTCCTGGCCGCTTGCCCCTCTTGCCTCCTGCTGCTCTGTGCTCTCACCCCCTCCCGCCAGCCCCGGTTCTCCAGCAACTGAAAGCCACACCTTGGTTCTCTGGCCCTCACGAAGTAGTCATTTCAGATGTAGCTGGGTGCTCAGTGCTCAGCCCCAGCTGCCTCCCATGCCCCTTTCTCACAGTGCTGTATTCAAAACTGGGACAGGTGCCTCCTCCCAACTCCTCTGGGACGGAGCTGTGGGAGCTGTGTCCCACCCTCAAGGGTGTGCGGCTGTGGTGGAGCTTCTTCCTGCCCCTATTGGATGAATGATGGGGTGGGCCCAGGGCTTTTGTGCCCTCCTGCCCTTCCGGGATCCCTGG